CCCCAAAACCCCAAAACCCCAAAACCCCAAAACCCCTAATTCATTTTGCTGGTTGAACTTTATAAATATTTATTCAGATGTCTGATTTAAGGGTCCGCTCCAGTTTAGACTTCACTCCTGAGAATGACTTTATACCTCATTCAAAAGATATCGAACGGTTTAAAACCAAAGCTGAGAAACGAAACCAGATCTTACAGGCTCAGAATAGCAAGTTTCATTGAGAAATTTAGAACGATGAAGAATGAAAGTTTTGATCACTCAGGGAGGTTTGAAGAGCAAAAAGCTCCCAGAGATTTAAGCTATTCAGAGAAGACTTTTGCTAATATCCTCGCACCAAACCCAAGGTCAAGGGAAAGATTCTATATGCCTTCTATTAATTTGCTAAACCATAAGAACTTAAGATCGAATGAGCGGAAGAATGGTAAAGTTAGGAACATAAATGCTGAATTAGTTAAAAATCGATCAATGATAAGCTCTCCCTTAAAAATTTCGAAGATATCACACAGTCCTGAAAGGCAAAATAATGAATATTCTCAGGGCAAATGATACTGGCTCAGTATGAGTGAGGCAGTTAAGAGAAATAATTTAGAAGACTCTATTATTAGCTCTTTTGCTAATGATTATATCCAAGGGTCTTTAAGACAAAGGCGAGAGGTCCGTGAGGATTCTCAGCCAGGCAAATCTAGTAAGTTATGGAAAGAGAAGAGGAGAAGTGTCATTCATCGCAATATTAAAGTAAATAGCCAGCATGTGTCACGTGACGAGGATTACTGAATACCTGAAAAATCGATACATCATACTGCATCCAAAATTACAAATAAAATATCACTCCCAATTGAAATTCCGCTGAATATTTTGAAGGAGACCCAGACTCTCTCGTTACAAGGATGACTGAGAGAGAAGGAGAAGGTATATTTGGTTAATAAGCTAGATAGATTGTTTATCCAAAGAACTTGCAGCAAGATGGTATTTCTGAAAGCTCCAATGAAGATGACCCTCAGCTTATTTACAGCAAAAACCCTCTATATAACCCTCAAGAAAGTACGAACAAGAGCATGAATGAGTCAATTAAAGTTCACTTGAGGTATAAACCAAATGTTATTTCAGAGAATATCCATAAAGTGTCCCATCCAGAGCTTTGTAAATTGTTTTAACTAATTTTATAGTCAATCAATATCGAAAGAATAATCGAAGATATTCTATAGACTCTATGCTTGTTAGGAGTAGAATTGGGAAAGAATCTAGTCCTTCGGTTAGAATTGATTTACCAAAAGTAGAGCGAAAGTTATTCCCTCCTCAATCAGTCAATTCCAAAGAGATTCATTCGGATACCAAGAATAAGGCTCCTATTGATATATTTCATCAAAGCAGGAGGATCTTGAAGGTACATTTGAAGAAGATAGAATTCGATAAATAAAACAATAGTGAAGTCAAATCTATCTTATTTAGCGAATACTCATTATCAAAACTAAATTTTATCAACAATTTATACCAAAATGATCTACACAAATTATGGTTGTTATTCAACCTGAGTATACTCTAAAGGGGTTTTGGGGTTTTGGGGTTTTGGGGTTTTGGGGTTTTGGGG